CTATTTTTGATGCGCTTTCGTTTGGTATAAAATTCATTAATTACTCTATTTGAAATTATAGCGGTATCTCCCTGGCAAAATATTATTTCCAACCCTGTATGTATGTTGCAGTAGAAATTAAAATTTCATTCTCTACTAGTAGAAAATGAAATATTAGCTATGAAAGAATGTCATAGAAAAGTTTACGAAGAACATTCTTTGTTTTTTTTATTCTGTTAAAAGACGACGGTTAATTAAGTTTTAATGATTTATATACTTAGATAGAATCTATCTACAGTATAATTGCAAATGGAGATACTCCATCAGATCGAGTCTCTCTCTCTCTCACACAAATAATCTTTTTCTTTTTCTACAGTGAAAGAAACTTTAAAAACACATAAATTAGACTCGTGGTTCTATCATGCTTTGTTCAACATGGCAATCAAAAATTCTTTCACTAAATATATCTTTTGGAAGAACAGAGTGTGGTCGATTTACTTTGAAAAAACTTCACCTTAAACTATCTTAGAAGCCTAAATATCAAAACCTGTAAGGTGACCTACATGATTTTCATGACAAAGCCGCGTATTTCGTAATTACCCCAGTCAGTCAACAATAGAGAAAAAACTCGTTTTTACGCGTTGAAATGTGCGCTTTTAACGTTTTGTAACGCGTTTTCCAGCAAAAAACGACTTTTAAACGCTTGAGCAACGCATATAAACGCGTTTTTTTCACTTAAAAGACAAAATATCGCGTTTATACATGTTAGAATGTGCGCTTTTACCGTTTTTCGAAGCGTTTTCAAGCGAAAAAAAACGTTAAAATAATGCGTTTAAACGCGTTTTTTTTCCGATCTTGACTGCCTGGGACGTAGCACAAAAAATGACATTGAATGAAATATTTTTAGTGTATTTGTGTCAGGTTTTGATAGCCTATGATTAGTTTTGTTGTTGAGTCTAATAGAGCGCGAAATTCTATAGACACTGATTTACTTTAAGACTATGAAACATGTCAACCCAATACGAGTCTAATCAATCTTTTGGAGAACTGCATAATACTCAACAACAACAGTGAATTTAAGCTTAAGACAAGATAACTCTATCATAGGCATGCAAAGAGACATTAAACTTCTATTAGGTTGACGTCTTTAATAGTCTCAAAACACATCATTTTCTAGATAATTGAGCGCTCTATCACACTCAATGGAAAAACCAATTATGGACTCTCAAAGCCTGATACAAATACACTAAAAATATTTGATCCGAAGTCATTTTTTGTGCTACATAACTACAAAATACGTAGCTTTTTCATGAAAATCATGTAGATCACCTCATAGGTTTCGGAATTTACACTTTTAAGATAATTTAAGATGAAGATTTTTCAAAGTGAATTAATCTAGTGTGTCGAGCATATTCTGCTCTTTCATAGGATACATGTAGAAAATAAATGCTTGTCGTGTTGAAAAAAGCATAAAAGAACATGAGCTTACTTTATGTGTTTTTAAACTTTTTCTACGAAAGAAAAAGGAAAAGGTTATTTGTGAGAGAGAGAGGCTCGATTCTACAGAGTATCTTCATAGTCATTTTTCCTGTTCATAGATTCTACCTAAGTATATAAATCATTAAAACTTTCTTAGTTCTTGTCTTTCAACTGAATAAAAAACAAAGAATGTTCTTCTTAAATTCTTTTTCTACTATTTTATATAAAGCGTTTGCTAAATAAAACTTTTAGATATAATTTAAAGAAAGACTAGCTACAATACAAAATAATTGATTACAAAAGAAGCCCATCTTCAAACTTGTCACTTGCAAAGTAAATTAGTTCTGTGTACATTAGTGAGAAACTATTTATATGGTTCAATAACTTCAGAATGAAAACACAGAAAATAATTTATAAAAACAAAAAAAAAAGAAACATTTTCAGAAGATAGATTCATATGATTAATGAATCAATTAACAAATAGAGTTAACAGATAAAAATGACTGAATAATAATATTATCTATAAATAGATTCTATGAGTTAATACAATAATGTATTTTATCTAACAAAATATGTGCTAGATTTTCTATTTCATTGATATATAAGATTAATCTTATGAATATTTCTTATGTTTAATATGATCGATAGATGATCAGATTAACAATGATGATTGATTAAAGTAATATTGTTATATAATTAAATATTTATTTGTAAATAGAATTGTTTGAATTGATCATTGAATTTCCTGCTGAAAGTTTAAATAGTGGAAAAAGTGTTATGATTGAAAGAATTAATTCAAATGAAGAAAAAAAAATATCAGGAAATTTTGAAGATCTTTACAATATTGAACATCTAAATGAATCTGCCGAAACAAAATTTGTTCATATTAAAGTTCCGCAAGAATTAATCGAAGGAGGAAAAACAATTGTTATTAATAAAAATAATGTATATATTAAAAATAGTATTGATTATTACAAAGAAGCAGCACATCATTTAGGGAATAATGCATTTTCTAAACGAGATCATCTTCAATCAAAAAGTAACTTGTTTTTTTAATTTAATATTAATATAAAATAAATAATATATTTAAATATATAGATATGATGAAAATGATAATAGCACTTCCACCAGAACTTTTTTGTAATGACCATAAAATAATATTTCGAAAAGAAGATTCTCAAACAATGGCTGCTAATTCTCCTTATCATCGTCAATCTAAACACGATATACAATTAATACGTCGAGATAGTTTAAGTCATGATCAAAAACATTTTTTAGACGAATTTTTTTCAAATCGAATATGGCATCCGAAGTTATCGCATGATGCTCGTTTACTTAAATTATCTCTTGATTTAAATAATCAACCAAATATACGAAATCAAGATCAAATTAAATTAATTATTGATCAACAAAATATACGTGTCGAAATAAAGAATAAAGAAGATTTTAATATATATCAAGAAATTCTTGTACCTGATATCATTAAATTAGATCAACTTAAATATGAATTTGATGAAAAAAATCTTTATTTTAATATAATGATTCCTCTTCAATGAACAAATTTAATTATATTTTTTTATATCAACTTTTCATTTAAACACGCTTAATTAATGATTTTATATTATCATTAAATATGTTTTTTTTTTAATATATATAATCAAGAGTCGACAATTTTTTTTATTTCAGAATAAATAATAGATAAAAATCAAGCAAATTAAGTTTTATTTAGTTATTCAATAAATAGAAGGAATTTTATTTAAAACAATATCAAACAGATTTATTAACTTTTGTTTATTTTCATATGAATTATTTACAGTTGAAATATTTACTCTTGTTTTAATTTTTTCCGATTATCCTTAAATTTCCAATAGATTAATATTCATAAATACTTTTTTTTTCATATTAAAAATTTCATTGGATTTTTATTAAACTATTT